CACCAGGGAGGTCTGCGTTCGCGCCCCCCTTTACAGGCTGGCGCTGCAGATCCTTGGGTGGTCCCAGGGGAAACTCCTCTCTTTGAGAGCAGTGTACATCCCTGGCCGTATCAAAATGGGAGCAGACGCCCTGTCGAGGCAGGGGCCGATGCCCCGGGAATGGAGGCTCCACCCCGAGGTGGTGGAGCAGATATGGAGAATTTTCGGCCCAGTTCAGGTGGATCTGTTTGCGACTCAGGAGACATCGCACTGTCCCTTCTGGTTCTCTCTGACTCATCCAGCTCCCCTGGGACTGGATGCTATGGTGCAGACGTGGCCGAGGCCGCGTCTGTACGCCTTTCCCTGGAAAGGTTCTGGAGAGAGTGTGCCGGGACGGGGTCCGTCTGTTGCTAGGAGCCCCGTTCTGGCCGGGCCGAGTATGGTTCTCGGACCTGATTTCCCTTCTAGACGGCTCCCCTTGGGAGATTCCCGACAGGAGGGACCTCCTCTCACAGGCAGGGGGCGACATCCTTCACCCCCGCCCGGAGCTGTGGAAGCTGTGGGTGTGGCCTCTGAGGGGGCACAACTCAGAGCTTCCGGTCTCTCAGCCGAGGTTGTTGAGACTATCCTCCAGTCCAGAGCTCCCTCAACGAGGAAACTGTATGCCCTGAAGTGGAAACTTTTCACTTCCTGGTGCGGGGACCACCAGCTCGACCCCGTTTACTGCCCGGTTGGTACAGTGCTGGAGTTCCTGCAGGTCCGTCTCTCCGCAAGGCTGACCCACTCCACCCTGAAGGTCTACTTGGCGGCTATCGCGGCCTACCACGCCCCTCTCAGTGGCCAGTCAGTGGGCAGACACCCCTGCGCTGAGGCTCAGACCTCCAGTTTGATCTCGGGTCCCCTCGTGGGACCTGGCCGTGGTTTTAGAGGCTCTTTGTAAACCCCCCTTCGAGCCCATTGAGGAGATTTCGGACCATCTTCTGACGTTAAAGACTGTAAATTTCCTCTCTTAGGAGAGTGGGGGATCTTCAGGCCCTTTCTGTGGCCCCTTCCTACTTAGACTTTGTGCCTGGGTTGGCCAAAGCGTTCTTGTACCCTCATGCGGGGTACGTACCGAAATTTCCCTCCTCGGCACCACGGCCGGTCGTGCTGCAGGCGTTCTGTCCTCCTCCCTTTCGGGAGCCCGACCATCGGAAGCTTAACTGTGCATGTCCAATGCAAGCACTGGACGCGTACATCCACAGAACTGCCCTGTGGAGAAAGGCGGACCAATTGCTTGTGCGCTTTGGTCCCCCTAAGAGGGATTTTCCTGCTTCTAAGCAGACCCTCAGCCGGTGGATTGTAGAATCCATTTCTCTGGCTTTCGAGTCCTCTGGTCTCCCCTCTCCACTGGGGTTCAAGGCTCACTCTACCCGAGTGGTGGCGGTCTCTGAGGCCTTCTTGGCAGTTGTGTCCTTGCAGGACATCTGCAACGCGGCGGGTTGGTCCACGCCCCTGACATTTGCCAGGTTTTATGGCCTGGATATGCGAGCCACTCCCGGCTCTTCTGTTCTCGTGCCCTAGCTGTGCCCATCCACACTGGGCAGGGATTTGTAAGTCTGGCAGCGTGGGCATACTCGTTCCCATAGCGTTTCGACGCAGCTCGAGTTCCTGAAGGGGAACGTCTCTAGGTTGCGTATGTAACCATGGTTCCCCGAGGGAACGCTGCGTCTCAGTGCCACACTTCCGGCATCCCTGCAGCGCTTGCCCTGCATTGTTTGCCCCTTTTTTAGCTTCCAGGTCATTACGTCACCCCGCCCGTGATGTCCCACCCATCCTTCGGACTGATTATATACACCCGATTCAGGGAGCGGTCACGTGAATGGCGTTCCCATAGCGTTTCGACGCAGCGTCTTGTTCCCTTGGGGAACCATGGTTACATACGTAACCTAGAGATGTTTTTCTTCATCATTTCATTGACCATGACCTCTCGAACAGCTTCAAGACTAGTTACATCCATTCCCTCTGGGAAATCTGGTAGGTAATAAATTTTTTACATTTACGGCATTTGGCAGACACCCTTATCCAGAGCAACTTACATTTATCTCATTTATACAAGTAAGCAGTTGATGGTTAAGGGCCTTGCTCAAGGGCCCAGCAGTGGCAGCTTGGCGGTGCTGGGTATTGAACTCATGATTTTCCGACCAGTAGTCCAACGTCCTAACCACTGAGCTACCACTGCTACCACCTTTCCTTGGCTTCTTTATGTTTTTGTGTGCAGGTTCACCATCAGCATTGTTTTTTCCACGTTTACCACCATTAACTGTGACATCAAGCCGACCCAGCTGGCGCATAGATTGGCCATAGATTGTCTCTGCCAGTTTCTCAAGAATGTCATGCTTCAGCTCTTTTGTCACTTTGAGGTAAGTTCCATTATGAAGATACATCAGGTTGCCTTGATGTAGTCTATATTCCACATCTACAGAAAACTTTGAAATTTCAAATACATCAGGCCACTCTCTGCATCTGTCCTAGGATGAGATAGACAAGATCTCTGTGTCTGCCTGGCTGCTTGTCTCACTGCCAATTTCACATTGAATCACTGGGCTGAGGTCAAGGACAGGAATAATTTGGATGGTTGGTTTCTCTGGGAGGTCAGCAATGTCTGTTAGGTTACACAGCGCATTATTGAATTCAGGGTCCTCATACTGTAAAATGAAGTTGTAATCAGC